ATGCCAGTGTCAACTCAAAACAAAGTCAAACCAAATTTCAATAACTTGTCTGTTTATTCAAACTTAAAGACATAATAGATTATTAAATCAAGGATATTATAGAGTAGTTAAGTCAATAACTTACTGAACCCACCTTGGCCAGGATAGTGTGTTATCTCCCAACTATGATAAGATAGAGTGAAGGCATTAAACCCATGAAAGAATTTGCCTTTTAAAGTGTGATAGTCAAATAGACACAAACGAAAATAATGCAATTAGAGCATACCAAGGTGTATTAGTGTAATATCTATTTTACTGCTTTTTTGGCTTCACTCACGTATTGTACTATGTCTTCTTATTATCATGATTATCTTTTGTCTCACAGGTTTAATATCTTTCTTGTTATTCTGTAAAATTATAAGCTTTGTATTATTATTTTGTTTCAATAAAAATACATTTTGTCTTTTCCTTTTTGTGTGCCATACATGTAGTTGAAAATGAAATGTTACAAATGATCTAACATTTGAATTTCTTAGTAATTATGCCTGTCTAACTTCTTACTTTTTACTATAAATATATAAGTTAAAATAAATACTTTTTCTCTTCTTTTTTCCTTTCATGTTTTCAGTTTTTCCAAGGGTTCTAATAAGGGGCCCTACACTACAAGGCACCTTTTCTACAAGGGTCCAGAATGTCCTCTCTCTCATAATAAAGTTCCTCTCTTTCCTGGCACCTTTCTATAAAGGTCCTACAAGGGTCCTCTCCTTGTAAGCCACTCTTTCATAGATGTCAACACAAATGAGCTCTCATTTGAAAACATAGACTTCAGATAAGTAAAATAAAGATGTGATGTCAAAGTTACCTGGCCATGGTCAACTAGCATCCCTGATAAGATTTACTCTTTATTGTACCTTTCTGCTCTATGAATGGAGATAAATTGTGAAAGTTGACTTTTAAACCGACAGATGGAAATGGTCACATTTTTCGTTTATGAAAAATCTAAGACAAGAGCGCACTGAATGCCGGTTGACCATGGTCCTTTAAAACATTTCAGTTCATTATAGGCCCYTCTATTTGGGACACTAAATTAATTAATCCAGTCCTAAATTTCCGATTAAAGTTTATCCTAGAGTCATTCTTTCASCCGGTAATAGTACCGGAGAGGATGAACTTATAGATCCGTTTGTCTTTAAAGTCCACACTATGCTCCCATCTTTGCCGTTCAGTGCATAGACTGTAGAATCTGTGCTTCCTGCATAGACCACTGAATCRGCTCCAACAGCAATCGATGAAGCAACATAGTCCTTTGTCRCTGGTCCCCAGATTATGTCCGATGTTGTGGCATTGATAGCAAGTATTCGGCCATCGCCGACCCCGACGAATAACTGATAGAGAAAGAAGTAACGTTACTTGTATGTGAGTGAATGATGGATGGATGTAAATGGACAAATATTAAACATAAAAAAAGGAGAGAGGGGTGAATATCAACTCACGTTTACCAATGCCAACCCATGCTTACCCAAGCCAACCCATGCCAACCAAAGCCAACACATGCCAACCAAAGCCAACCCATACCAACTCATGCAAACCCATAT